AAAGTCATTGTAGGGGGAGAGGGCCATAATGGCCAAGAGAGAGAAGAACGGGGACCAGCTATACGTAGGTAGGAAGGAAGATTACCTATAAGGGAAGGGAATGTAGGCAGAGGGGCGCATTCTAGAATTTTGTGCTTGTTAGCTTTTGGGTTGTTAGGGAGAGATTCCCTACCCTCTCGGATTGGTGGGTCATTTTGTTGCCTTCGCGTTGTTCTTGCTCTTTTGTAATATTTTGAATTAAAACGGAATCGTGAGGTGTTGTTACTGCCAAAGACTGTTGGCTAGAAGGAGAAAGCAAGGCATCCACTTTCCAGGAGAGATTAAGGGACTTGATCTTCTACCAAAAAAAAAAGCATATTAAAATCTTCTGTAAGGGAAACCTCTAATAAATCTTCATTAGCAACCTCTTGATCTCCCGAAAAACCTGAAGAATCCTAACTACTGACTCTAACAATGTAACTTTCCTCATCATCAGACAAAAGGTTATCCTTTTTGTTAACTTTTTGTGTTTAATTGACTGCTCATTCGTCGAATTAATAATACCATGGATGAGTGATGAATTACCTTTAAATGTCTTTTCATCCAAGAAAACAGGAAAGTGTACCAAGCGACAAATGTGAAAGACTTTTACCCTTCTGGTTCCCTTCTTTCTCCTCCATAAAATCTTTTTCTAGATTGGTTTGATCTAGGCCAGCTACCTTTAGTGAGTCAATGCCATTTAAAAACCTCGAAGATTGCTTCCTTTTTTAATAATATAGGGCAAGGAGGCAGTAAATCAGGGTTAAATCTAAAGCTACAATCAACCAAATCACCAGCTGTCTTGGCTGCCTTTTCACCTTTAAATGGAAGAGATTCTTTACTTAATTCGTTTCTCATGAATCTCGGTGATTTGTTTTCCAAAATATGAAGATCTTTTGGGCTACCCTCTGGTCCTTCATTCAGAACCGCAAAATTTAAAAGGTCTCAGTGCATATTGCCAGACTTTTCTGTTTCTTCATTGAATGCCCTTGTCGGATCATTAATATTGATTGGCTGCATAGAGGTATCAGCGTCATCTTCAATGTTCATTAATTCCTGCATAGAAGAAGGTTCGTTATGCGTATAAAATGGCTGGTTAGGAAGGTCAGACCTTTCATCTTCCAAAATCCTGAAATCTCCCTCGCTATGCAAAGGCTCCGGGAATCTTTTGGTGATACAAGCATCCAAGGCTTTGCTCTTCCATATCAACTCTTCTTCGACCAATTCTACAGCAAGGGGTTTTTCGTCTTTCAAGACTAATTGAATCCTCTCAAGATCAAGAGGATTGGAGAAGTTCTTCAGATTGAGATTAGCAAACAAATTCCTTCTAATATTTATCCTAATTTCTGAATTACCAGTGGTCAAAACTTTGATATCAAAAGACCTAAAACACGATCAGTATTCAGTATTTCTACTGAGGCAAGTAAGAAACCACAAGAATTTTCTTCTACCCTTATATAAGCTTTTATGCAATCGATCAAATTCAAGGTTTTGAAGAAATGCCCACTAACCTCCCAAAATATGTTCCTAAGCATTCAAAACAATTTCTTTTCCAAAAATGCAGTGGTAAGTCTTGGGTGTAAATGAAGTCCTAATTGGAGTAGCTTGAGGTTTAGCTCCATTAAATGATGCTTGACTAAGCTTGAGATGCATTTAATTTGAATATATTTGATGCAACTTAGAGTTCCTTTAATGTTTAATCCAACTTGAGTTCAACTTTAATGCAACTAGATTTCCTTTAATGTAACTTAAGTTTAACCTCAATTCATCATAAATGAAGTCTGAGTGCATTTAATGAAACTCTATCTTGTTGTCAACGAGAGCATGTAGGATAAATCCCCGACATCTTCTTGAAGTCCTTGTGGCATGACTAAGACACTTCGATTCATATCAATTTCCAACTGTTGAAAACCGACCCATCAAAGATCAACATCAATTTGTGCCCAACACCGACGCCGACCAAATGAATTTTTACCCCTATACTTGGGAACTAAAAAATTTATTAATTTCATGAAAAAAGGAAGCTAACTCCGTCATAGCAAACAGTAGCAGCATAGCCCAAGGAAGTTCGAGTTCTCCATGAAGGTGCTATCTTGGAACGTGAGAAGTATGGGAACTTTCTCCAAAGGAGCTGTGGTTAAGAGCACTTTAGTTAGTTTAAGCTCAGATATTGTCTACCTCCAGGAGACGAAGCTTCGGGTTATAGACCAAAAAATTGCAAAATCCCTTTGGAACTCGAGACATGTAGGACGGGTGGCCCTTGACTTAAAAGGTTCAGCTGGTGGTGTTTTGGTTATATGGAAAGAGAACAGTTTCGATGTTTTGGAGTCCATTATAGATGAATTTTTTGTCTCCGTTTTTTAAAGTTTCAGTAACCTCTTTAGTTGGTGGTTCACATAGGTCTATGACCCATCTACCCCTCTGGTAGGTCATTTTTCTTGGAGGGATCTAGAAGATTTGTTTGGTTTGTGTCATGCGCGGTAGTGTTATTGGTGGCGGTTAGATGGGCATCCAAGAAATCAAACAGTGGTAGGGTCACCAAGAGTATCAATTCTTTCAACTCCTTTAATCCAAACTGTGACTTGTTAGATGTACCCCTACCCCTTAGCAACGGCAATTTATCCTAGTCAAATCTTAGAAAATCTTTGATTTCTACAAAAATAGATTGTTTCCTCATCACCAAAGATCAGACAGCTTTTTTCAAGGAATACACAGTTGATGGGCTTACAAGAATCCACCTTGGATGATTTTCCTTTTGTCCTAATTATGGGTGTGCAAAAATCTGGCCCGTCGGTTGAGGGATGGTGGTCTTCAATTAAGGCTGAGGGATGGCATGGGTATAATTTTATGGAAAAACTTAAACGTCTTAAATCTCTATTAATTAAACGAAACAAAGAGACCTTTGGGCACATTGCAGATAGAAAGAAGAGTATCATGGAGTGTATTGTAGCCATAGATGATGCAGAGGACAAAGGTCGTATCATGGAGCGTATTGTAGCCATAGATGATGCAGAGGACAAAGGTCTTGCTGGTACAAACCTATGGAAAAGCAGATTGGCCCTTAAGTCTGAACTCTCGAAAGTTATTGTGAAGGAACGTCGGCTATGGGCACAGAAAAGTAAGTTACAATGGTTGGATGAGGGGATGAGAAAAGAAAGTTACATTAGCTAAACAAAGAACAGGCTACCTGAACCAAATGCTCGCCTTCTTCGTAAGGTTCAGGCTCAATTCCAGGAAAGAGATAAGGATGGCTACAAGCTTTTCGAAGTTGAATCACCTGCAAAGCAAAAGCTAAAATATATTCAAAGAACATACGCAGTAACATATGAACACTACAATATAGTCTCCCAACATCGGCTTGATAAAAGTATTGTCACCGTTTAGAAAATGTGAAACAAAATGCTCATATCCATCGAATTTATTTTTAAAGAAAAATTAATGGCAGCTTGTATTTTAGTTTTGATTTTTTATTTCAGTTTTATTTTAGTGTATTTTAATTTTGATTCTCTTATGTTTATGTTCTATTTCCTATCACTCCTTGGGGAGTTAGTAGCAACAATTTTGTTCCTTTTCATCTATCAATGGAAAGAAATTCGTATCTTGTCAAAAAAAAATTAATAAAAATTAATGGCAAAACAAAAGATAAGTTGTAAAATTTGCAAGTCATGTAGAACTTGTTGCCTTAGATTATTTCACTTCAACCAAAAACACCTAAAATGTGGCAAGGAACCCTATCATCACTCATCAGATAACTCAAGATTTGGAGATTTAGGCAATGACCCATCATAAACAGCCATACATCTCCTACAACTGCCAGATGACATAACCCAGAGTGAAGCATGGAAGTTAAAAAAATGACATACGATATTCTGTAAAGATTGGTGGTTTGAGGATCCAGGAGAAAGTGCAAGTAGCTTAGGCAGCTCCTTTCTCAATATTGACATGTAGACCTTCCTTTGAAGGTTAACCAGAGGTACCATCCTTCATGGAAAAGCAATAAAACATTAAACTAATTATATGCGTATCTACAGAAGCAGTTAGAACAATGATTACACTGTTGTCTCAGTAAGAGGCGGTAGCAACAGAACTCCAGATTCACTAAGCTTGACTTTTGTTCTTCTCAGGAGGAAAGCTGATAGTATATACTTTAAACTCTTAAATTGTTCATTTCCTTTAACTTTGCCATGACCTGTAAATAATAACGTAACACATGTAACAACCCGTATTTTCTAATGCGGTCATTCTGACAAAATGTGGAAGCGTAAACAAATAAACACTAAATTAATGAAAAAACTTCTTTATTTAATTTGATACTATGACAAAAGATAAGGACAAGTCCAACTTTGAAACAAAAAAACCTACACTATAATAAAGCCAAAGAATAACTACCAGAACTAACTAAGTTCTCATAAGTTAAAAACAATGGAAAATACTAAAGATTTCAACTCCTCGTACCAGAACGCTATTCCTCAATCACTATCTGAGCAGTCATTTGAACCTTCATCTGAAAACATTTAGAAAAAACAAAAAAAAAATGAGTACAAAAATACTCAATAAGCAATTTCCATATCGAATTTCGAAGTTCATTTTCCTTTAAAACCATTTGTAAACAAAAATACGAACACATCGAAACTTATAAAGTCCTTTAAAATATTTAATACAATTTTCAAAACTCTCAAAATAAACTAGATTTTCGGAAACAAAGTCTTCAAATAAGGTAAAATTTCCAGTCAATCAAAACAAACTTTCATTCTTTCAAAACAAACTTTCATTCATTCAAAACGAACTTTCATTTGATCAAACTTCAAATCCTTCGAAACAAACTTTCTTTCAATCAAAACTTTCAAAATTCCTTCTAAAACATTTGGTACAACTTTCAAACTTTCGAATAGCTAAATCATTCAACATTCGAAACAATCTTACATTCATTCATACTTTCAAAATCAGAGTGGAAGGTTGCATTATTTGGGTAGCCTACAGAACATATGTGGTTACCTGTCGGTAACACCAATCAATCAGAAGCTTCTATCAGAGTTGTCGAATTAATATCGACCAGAACAGAGTTGTCAAAATAATATCGACCAGAATAGACAGAACGGTTACTTAAGTGTGAGGCCATGTGAGTGAATAACACACACATGAATCTTCATTCCCAAGGAATGCCAAACCACAAAAGTGTCTTCCCACAAATAAGCCAAACAGAAATCTATCAATTCCAAATTAGGTTACTACCCCAAATAAGCAAAACGTTCCTCAAAACAAAATCATGGCATATCCAGATAGCCGTATCAAATCAATCAAAATATCTTTCAAATAGAATGCAACACAAATACTTACTTTCAATATTAAATTAATTCAAAACATTGAGATAATTTAAAACAAATTTTATCAATCCTCCAAAACATGATTTCAAATATTTCACAAATAAACAAAATATCAATTTCAAACCTTTAAATCAGTCGAAACAAAACTTTATCAAATCATATAAGAATATTTCAAATACTTTGCAAATAAACATAATATCAATTGTCAAATTATTTTTCAAATCCATAATAAAACTTGAATTTCATATGCAAGATATCAATTTCAAATCGTCGTATCAAATCCAAAATACATTTTAGTTTTGAAAAGGATATGACAAATCATTACAACACTTTTCGAAGGGATAGTGTAAATCACTTACCTCTTTGAGAAATCCTACGAATCTAATTAACTTCTTCCTTGGTAGTTGTCAACTTAGAGGCCTAGAAACAACCAATATCCAAAATCAATCTTTAAATCCTATCAAATGATTTAAAATTCAACCAATTACTAACCAAATCTTATCTACCCAATTTTCCCATTCAAAACACTTTTTTATGCAAAATAATTAAGAAAGTATGGATTTGGGACTACAAAACCAGATCTGAAAACTGGGTTAAAAAGCCTCTAAAATCAACAATAACAACCTTTAAAAATACAAGAATCGGTATAAATTAATACAGACAAAATTTACAAAAAGTTTCTCAACAAAACAAGTTTAAAAGCCTTATAATCAATTGAAAATTTGGGGATTTTAAATCTGGAAAATTTTATGTTTTATAAAATAAAACTTCCAAGAATTTTCCATAAAACAATTAACAATTTACTGATTTTTATAGAAAAATCAGATTTGAAAACTGTATGGAAAACCTTTAAAACTTGGTAAAAACATATAATTTTTCATGTAAAAATCGTAACAACAAACTATAATTTATAGGATACAAATAGGTAAACTTTTTATGCAAAAAGAGTCTCAAAATAGCCAAAAAACAGTCTCGTAAACAAAAAGATTCAAACCAAAAATTCTGGAAAATTTTTAGGGTAAAAAGTCCTTAAAATCTTTTATTATGAAAACAAAGATCTCAAAACTTTTCTCAATAAACTGAATTAAGAACTACATATCAAGAAGAATAAAACTAAAACAATGAGCAAGAAAAAAGCTTACCGATCTTTGAGAGAAAATATCAAAATTATTCTTCTTTCCTTTTCTTTTTCTCTTGGAGAGAAATATAAGTCTAACAGTTTAAGAAAATAAAACCTAGAGTCTAAGGGCTTTTATAACAAACCCTAATGAATCCTTATTTAAAAAGGATAATGAAAAGATAAAGATTTAATAAAACTCTTTCTTTTTATTTTTTAAATCCTTAGAACAAATTATCTTTTAAAAATAATTTTTAAAACAAAAATTTATATTTTTGAGAAAATAAAGAAAACAACCAAATAAAAATAATAATTTAAATATATATATTTATATATATATGTATATATATATATATTTTTTCCCGGTTGTTACAACACATTTATGAATTAGAAAGAAAATTGTTCCCTTTTACCTCCTCCAACTGTAGAAATAGTATTGTGATATTAAGCAAATAAAGCTGAAACGAATATAAGTGGCCTCAAATAGAATTAGAATTTCCACTAATTCAAGCAACAAGCAGTGTTTTCGAGGCGCACCCGGGCGCTCGCCTCAGGCGAGAGGCGAGGCGTTTTCGCCCAGGTGCGCCTCGCAAGGTGCCCAGGCGAGCGCCTTCAATCGGGCGCTCGCCTTTGGGCGCCTTGGCGCGCCTGTCGCCTGAGGCAAGGC